TGGTTTAACTGCAGAGTGCGAGTTCAACTTACAAGTAAGAATATAGGTGCTTTCTTGGAGCAGGAACAGTGAATGCTAAGCTTGCGTGCACTAGGGAATGGTCGGAGTCCAGATATGTGCTCTAAATGTGCGTCATCTATTGCATATGGCAATATGGTCAATTTGGGGCCAGATCATGGAGGAATTCGGTGGGCGGCAGGTGACGCGGTGTAAAGGTTTGTACTGGAAAGCAGTACTGTTACTATAGATAGTTGCATGAATCGATCTAAATCATCTGCTCGGCGTGCATCGACCCTGAAGCATCGTCCCAGGCGTTGTTCGGAATCTGAAAAATGATTCATTCAAGTAGCCAGAAACAATCATGACCTCAGCGTTCTTCGCAATGCGAAGAAGAGCTGAAAGATGGTGATAGAAAACGCCGTCCGTATCTTCAGAACTACTGTCAGTAGGAGCATAAACGGAGCCGATGAAATGGCACCTTGTCTTCGTACGATGCTTGTTAACTCCAATAGAGGTTCGAAGTTTAACCGCACATATGCGGCTCTTCACCAACAGACTACTCTCAGTGTGTTTTCTGGAGGCGATACTTACAGCGTGAATATTCTGAACCACTGACTCATTACAACCAGAGACGCGAAGAGTGTGGATATCGCCCACAGATTCAGAATCAGGGAGACGAAGATTCAGCACAACGCTGTTATCTTGCATGCATGTTTTGGAGACACAGCACACATCAATAAGAAGAGAGTGACGAGTGAGCCAGTGTTGCCTGGTAACCGATCTGAGAGCTTCCGTCGGAGGCCGAGGTCCGAAACGCGATCACAGCCCTCAATCGTTTTCGTGCCGCTGGCTCGGATTCCCTCCCACCTGCACTATTTAAGGATGAAGGTGCAAAGCTGCAAAGCACTGACCTCCCGATTCGAATGTATCTAGAAAGAAGAGAGCATCCCGGCTAATTGGCGCGAATCGATTATAGTGGCAATATACAAGAAGGCCAGTAGTACAGATTGTTCTAACCACAGGGGTATTAGCCTAACGCCAGTTGTGACAAAATTATTGGCCTCGATTCTCGTTCGTCGCCTCACGGATTAGGGAAGAGCAGGCCGGTTTCGACCCAGGAGGTGGCTGCATAGACCATATATTCACTTTGCGGCAGGTGCTAGAGCAACGCCACGCACACCGCAGACCGAAAATAGCTGTGTTTCTCGATTTCAAGAGTGCGTTCGATTCAGTCGATCGATCGATTCTGTTCGAAATACTTACCCGGAAAGGTGTTCCCACGAAATATGTGAACATCCTTCGTGCTCCAAACTCGAACATTACAGGTCGCGTCAGGGTTTACGGCGTTACATCAGATAGCTTTCCGACCACAAGTGGCGTGCGTAGGGTTGTGCAAATTCCCCATTTCTGTTCAATTTCCTCGTGGATTCTATCATGCAGTGTTCCCTTGCGGAATCCAACGATGTAGGCGTTGAAATGCTGCCAGGTGAAAGGTTAGTTGATTTAGATTATGCGGACGATATCGTCTTGCTTTTCGACGATGTTGGGGCGGCACAATCAATCCTGAATAGCCTTTCCACAGTGGTCCCATTATTTGGTATGCACTTCGCACCTTCAAAGTGCAAAGTGTTGCTGCAGGACCACCAGCCACTTGATGACTTCTTGACGCTTGCTAACGAGGAACTCGAGGTGGTTGATCATTTCATTTATCTTGGCGGCTGCATCAGCAATGATGGGCGCATAGAAACTGACGTGATCTCACGCATTGCAAAGGCCAGAGCTACCTTCTTGAACCTGCGACATCTTTGGCGACAGAAGGGAGTTTCCCTTCGTCTGAAGGGCGGGGTATACAAGGCCACAGTGAGGGCCGTACTGCTGTATATTAGTGAGACTTGGCCCCTTCGGTCTGAAGAGCTGAGGCGCCTTCAAGTCTTTGATCATCGTTGTCTGCGAAGCATTGCTGGAGTCGGATGGCACCAGCGTGTCCGCAACGATTATGTGCGTAGGCGAGTACTAAGTAGTGATAATCATGCTAGCTCCCTAGAACAACAGATAGCACTGAATAAATTGCGTTGGCTCGGGCACGTGCTACGTATGCCTGGTCACCGCTTACCTAGGAGGGCCTTGTTCAGTCTACCAGGTGTAGGATGGCGCAAGGCTCGAGGTGGACAGAAGTTGACTTGGCAGCGGGAAATGAAGTCACTGACAACTAAACTGGGTGCCGTTGGTCCGTCTCGCCTTCCGGGTTGGAGTCCACGTGAGTCGCCTTGTGCTTGGCTCGAGATTTAACAGGACATGGCTCGCAGTAGACACCAGTGGCGCGTCTGCTGCCGTCTCCTAATCGGATTGTCTGTTTAAAGTGTGTTTGGTGCTGAGTTATCTGCGGGGTAATGGCTGATTATGACGCGTGGCAGTGAAAGCCGCAAGGAAGCTGTCTCGCCGATGTTGCGTTATTTTTGAACGATAGTCAGCTGTTTGTGACGGTATGTTGTCCACACAAAGTGTAGGCGCCTTGACCCTGAATGTTTGCTTAGGGCATTAAGGTTTTCAAGTAAGTCCCCCTTTTCTCCCTCTTCTTATTCATTACTTCATAGGGCCTCATGGTTGTATGGCAGCGAAGCATCAGTTCAAATGGCTGATGTACTGCTGTTGATGATGATGATGATGTTGACCGATCTGACTCAAGGTGCGGACGATAAAGAACCAACGTGAAATGAGACTGTTGGTTTGACGTACGAGTTACTAGTATTAATGACAGCAGATGCGCGTTCAGCGGCAGTTTCTCGCTAACTTGATGGGTAAGAAAAGACTTAAGAACGGAGAGAAAAAACAAGAAGAGGGTGTACTGTCGATGGGGTCGAGAGGAGAGATGATACTCCCCCAGTTTCCCATTCCGAGAGAGGAGTTCTGCTCAATGTGCCCTACTTCTAGCCTTTGACACGACAGTTTGACCTACGAAGTCGTGGGGGGTATGGAGGTTTGCCAGATGGACTGCATTTGGAGAGTTTAGCTCAACAGGCTGAACCACAAAGCAGTGGGGAGCAAGTACAGCTGGGGAGAGTGATTGCAGAGACCCATTAAGATCTGCTTGAGGCTTAGCGCCCACAGCGTATGAAGATGTAGAACAGTGCACCGTAATATGTTACGCACCTGCGACGACGGTCAGCCGCAGATGAGAGTTAGCGGGTTTGCGCCAATCTAACCAGAAGCTGTCTGGCTTGAAGCAGGCGATAGCAAAAACCATTGTGAAACTGAAAGTGTCCTCCCACCGTCAGGGAAATTGCGTAAATCTCGTCAATCGATCTGCGAGCTTCTACCATGTAAACCAGTTGTCACTCATGGCCGTTTTAAGAGCAAAGGGCCAATGACCTCTTCATAAGCTCCGACGAGGATTATGAGACTATGTTAGTCTGACTCCTAACGGTTGACCTATCTAGTATGAAGGTAGTTAGAAAGTGTCACCCAATGTAGCTCCATGGGTCACGGAGGTACGCAAGCCATCACACCACGTTAAACTCCAGTCTCGTCATCATGGACCAAGTAAGCAAACGAATATTAATACATAAAATCCCAATAACCGGAAGTAAATGGCTCAAACAACACTCGGATAGCCAAGTATCAGTGTCAGTTGGTGACCGTAGTGGTATTAGTCGCAAGAATTGTTTTTGCACACAAGATGCCGGTTTCAGATTGTGGAGGTAACTAACCGCAGCAATGGACAAGTGTTGTTTACGGAAGCCTTGCGAGAAGCGTTAGGACAAGGAGTAGTAGACGACTACGAAATCGTTCTCAAAAGCTGTGTGGCTTAGATCTATGGTGCAACATAATAGAGTTGGTTAATAACCACATATCGTCTACGCAATATCATGCCGGGATGTGCATGTAAATGCTAAGAAATACGCCACGTGGTAGTAACGACATATGGCTCACTAAAAGAGCAATGAAAGAGTCAAAAAGAGCAGACAATCCTAAAGGGCTACTGAAAGCAAAAACTTATCACAGTAAACAAATTTCAAGCACGCTACGGAATATGTCTTACCAACAGCCTCATTCCAGCGTCGATATAGATTATCGGTAGCATAATCGCTCGCGCAATGCTACCAACGAGTAAAATAATACGCAGTTACCTGACGGACCACCGTCAGACCAAAAAAAGGAGAAAGTCATACCGAAGGAAGCCTACTGACCGGTGACAGAAGCACACAGCTTCGGCTACTATGTGAATGGGTGATGGATGACAACCGATCGTCATCAGGAGTTGGTCAAAACCACGACCAGGTGCAAAATCCAGCGGTGACAAAAGGTACCACAAAAAACAAGTTCAGCACACAGCAAGACGCGCTGTTAGCAGAGTGGTGGGAAGCGACTCAAAAAAAGTGGCTAGTGGGTTAGGAGCGGCCCCCAAAAGGACCAATACTCCTTGTTTTAATTTTAAGATGAACTTACAGTGATGGCATGCTCTCCAAGGGCAGTCGATGCCACCATCGCTCCGTAGAGATATCTCGGAGCACGACTATCAAACTCACATGGACATAACGAATTGCATAAAGAAATAAAGATATTTGGTGTTCTAACTCGTCAAACAGTTCAGCGTGCGCGTCCCACGAAACTCAGAGAACCATTGGATCAATGATACTACAGGATATTACAGAAAGAACACGGCAGAAGATCGAAAGTAGTCGAAAAACAAGAAGACCAGATTGAGTGTTCACGTAAAGATGTGCTCGCCAAGCACGGCAGTCGGGCTGTAAACGATTCAGCACCAAGTGAGGTGGCATGAGCGTAACGCACACAGTTTGGTTTCCAAAAGCAACTAACCGAATGGGCACGCAAACTAAGACGAGTGCATTCACGACCGCGAACAACGTCACACCCAAGGCATAGATAACACCATGTGAAATAGACCTCCAGTCAAGCAGTACATTGATGATATTCTGTAAAAGCAATGTAAGTATATGTGGAATATTCTGAAACAATGAAAACTCAAAGCGAGTACTCACTCAAATGCACTGCGTCAATGTGTCTTTTCAGAGCGCCCTTCTGAAGGAAGCATCTGCCACATTGGTCACATTTGTGGGATTGCTCTCCTATTACAGTGAAAACAGAAAATTAAGGAAAGCCGCAGCTAGGAAAAGTCAAAGTCTTTCCCAATCGGTTGCAAACCACAAAGTGCATCACTTTGTATTGCGATCTTAAATGTAAACAAGAACAAATGCCAAAATTATGTGGTTGCTCTGATGCATTCTATGGTGCTCTGGTCATAAAGGCTACAAATTACAAGGAACTTTTGATGGCGCAAAAAGACAGCGACTGTGATTCACATGGAAGAGTGTGAAAAAGGGACAATAGTATACAGCAAGTACGAGAAAAAGCTGCGAGCACCACCCAATCCTGAGACCGCAATGTGGGCAAAATTTCTAAGATCGCAGAAACGAGCAATGAGTACGCAGGAAGGAAACAGCGAAAAGGTGATAAAACATGTAACATCGAAAGTATTGTACACGTGAACGGTGGCATTCAATCGCGCATTTGTCTGCCACTGCGGCCCTCACAGGACAGAGAGATGACGTCTGCGCCCACCACGGGTGGCTTGCGCTGCACCACCAGCACACCAAATATCCAGTGTAAATCCGAAGGAATAGGACCCGGAGGAATGTGGATGGGACCTACGTTTCATCAACGGAGCCGCCCCAAACTCTATCAGAGGCAAACACAAGCACGCTGTATTTGGGGAATTAAGCGCACACAAGGCGGTGGCTGGACTGTAGTCCGCTCCACACTGTGTACATGGAACCACTCTTTGATCCTAGCATGGCCACAAGGACCGTGCACCCCGTCCCCTCCAGCAACGACCAACTGTCTCCTAGAGCCAGTATGGAGCAGGTGGCGGGTAATAGACAGGTAGGCACCTTGTCAACATGCACAGCAAGCGCAGCCACACCCGGGATATCAAGCAACAGCCAATCACTTGAAACGACAAGATGAAATAAAATAAATCGGATAATTCAAACAGATACGAAGACATAACTCCACACTAAATGAGAGTATAAAAATGATTATGAACGAATCCGCAATAAGTTCAAGAGATCAGAAAACATATCTTAAGGAAACACCACAAAACCCGAAAATATTATAGAAATTAACCACAGTTAGCTTCAGCAACGTGTGCAAGTTTATAGAAGAGAGTACAGGTAGATAACAATGTGGGAAAGAAAATTATTAGGACAAAATGGAAAACCCACCACTTGAAATAAATAGACTTAGGATGCAAGCACGCGGTTAGTAAATCGAATGCAGCGTACCTACAAACACTGCGCCGGTTCTGCCTACGTTCTTTGCAGGACCCGTCGTCGCTTCGGTAGTGGTCCCGAGTGGCCTCGCTCATGGCTCACTAGGCCTGACTGAGTCAGACACTCGAGACCGCATGTGCTACAGCACCATGCGCTCGATGTCGATGGAGTACAACCCATCGGTGTCTGTCGCTTCCGCAATTGCCGCTTCTTCTCTCCATCCATGAGGTCTTTCTCCCGCACTTCGGCAACTGCCTTCGAGGTTAGATCGCGCCATGCACGCCGATCAACAGTCTTTGATACCCATGACCTGCACTCAAGATTAGAACGTGAGAGGCTCACTTTGATCATGTCCTGGTGACGTAAATTTGGTTTCCCAACATGCCGCTTTCCAATACTCAGATGACCATATAATAGCCGTTTCGGTATCTGCGTCGAATCCATACGGCTCACATGACCGAACCACCTTAGGTGTCTGAGCAAAAGTATGCAGTCCACTGCATACATTCAACTTCGACAAAACACTTCTGTGTCTGCAACTCTGTCGCACCAACCAATACGCAGAATCCGTCGCAAAATCTGCTGATGGAATAAATCGAGATATCTCACATCTCGCCGGTACATCGTCCACGCTTCGCTGCCGTATAGCAGAACGGACAGCACCATGGATTTGTAGACCATCAGCTTCGTGCCAATGGTAAGCTAACGGTTGTTCCACACTCGGTACTCTAGCTTTCCGAATGCCGCCGCTGCCTTCGACACGCGGATATGCAGCTCACTGTGTAGCTGCTGATCAGTCGACATCACACTCCCAAGGTAGCAGAAGCGGGAGGTGGTTTCCAATAATTCAGCACCAATGCTGATTCGCGGCAATAGTGCAGATTGCACCTCCGGTGAAGGCTGAAAGAGACAGACAGTTTTGCTTGTGTTGATGGTGAGTCCGAATTTGGTCGCTGTCAAAGCCAGAAAACTAGTCATGTGCTGCAACTCATCTGCGCTGTGTGCAAACAATGCACAGTCGTCAGCACACAGCAACATACGGATAGTTGTCACACAGACTAGGGTTTTCGCACAGAAACGACGGATGTTCAGCAACTCACCATCAATACGGTGCTCCACACGATCACCGTAAGCACAAGCCACATCGAAAGCACAAGACATCATGGCATGAAAATATATATTAACAGGGCAGGAGCTAAGACAGCCTTGCTTCACACACTTCACACAACTGCAAAATCATCCGAGGTCTCGCCACTCAGCTGAACCCTCGCTCGCATACCACTGTGCAGACATTCAATTAAACTTACAAACTTACGCGGGTAACCAAACTTACAAAACACCATCCACAGTGCCTCGCGGTTCACCGTATCAAATGCCAGTGAAATCAACAAACAGCGAGTAAAACGGATGCTGTCGTTCTCTGCACTTCTCATGCAACCGACAAGCCGCAAACACCATATCTATAGTGCTGCGATCCGCACGGAAACCACACACTCTTCCGCCACGTTAGGCCCCACAACCTGACTGCCGAGGCGGTTGAGCAGGATTCGGGCAATCACCCTGTCCACACAACTCAGCAAGTTGATGCCACGATAATTCGTGCAACATCGATCACGTGGTGCTGAGGCGGTCTTGCCCACGAAGTGGAATGTGTAACTAGCCACTACTTCATGCAACTTACCTTGTTCAGCGAGCCGAGTCTCAAAGAACGCCGCAATATCGATGTAGCAGCGCGGCAGTATGATCGCAACCAGCGCATTGCGTCGCTCAGGGCGCTCACTCGAGTTCCGGTCCAGTAGTGTGCGCACGTTCCAGCTTCTGAGGCTAAGTGCTTTGGGCGCAGGTATACGATTGCATTGGTGCGCAATCCCACGCGAGGTGGCGGGTGTGCTTCGGTTTGCTTTGGAGACTCCATCCGGAGCCTTTAGCTCAATAGCCTGGCCCACAAGGCGGTGGGTGATTCTGGAGGTTTGCTTGAGGGACTCCACCCGGAGCCTGTGGCTCAATAGCTTGAACCACAAGGCAGTGGGGAGCAGATCCAGCTAGAGAAGGGGATTGCAGAAACACATTGGGATCCGTTTGACGGCCGACACACGCAGCCTTTGAGGTACTGGAACGATTCTTATATGTTTTGCGACCGTAGTAGGTTACGCACATGCGACCACAACTAGACACAAGTGGGTTTTGAGCGTTTGCACCAATTTGACCAGCGGCTGCCTGGCTTGAGGCGGGCCGTATCAAACCAGTGAACACCCGGAGGTGCCGTTCCGCCGTCAGAGACAATGCGTGACGCTCGTGCTCTACGCCAATCGAGCTGTGAGCTTACAACTCGTAGACCTGTTGTCTCCCATGGCTAGGTTTTACGGAAAGAGGGCTATAGACCACTTTCTAACCTACGAAGAGGACGGACTAGGATACTGGCAGAGCGGCCATACCTGACAGGAGTTCGGCTCGGGTCCTCATCCAAAGCCTTCGATTAAATATACACCCGAAAGGCAGCGGGTCTAGCACATGGTTAGTTCACTGACTCATGCGGATTGGTGTTCTGGATCTTAGCAGGAAGAAGGGCGTAATCCAACTCCCTCTCAGCGGTCGCCACGAGGCGTCCAGGGCATGAGCCAATGGCACAACAGTAGGAGCAAGGGGTAGACCATCTGTCAGGATCTAGCCACCACCTCAGCGCACCATATATATATATATATATATATATATATATATATATATATATATATATATATATATATATATATATATATATATATATATCCTCCGCTCCTGAGGGGTATTTCGCCCTAAGATCTTCAGAAATATTAACGGGAATATTACGAATACTTGCGTCAATTCTACCCTCAAAACCCAAACTTCACCTCATCCATCTGTCCAACTGAACCATCTTGGCCATATTCTACTGCTTCCTTTCAGCGTGAGTTACTTCCTTGTTTCAGTTGCTCATTCGTCCTTCGAGCTTAGAAATTTGTTTCCGAAAGTTTAACCACTATGCGAGGTGACATTATCAGTGCGCTGAGATTCAGGATGTAATCTCGCTGATTGAATTGTCGATCCGTGATCGAGATACAGGTGACTTTTTGAAAGTGACGCCTTCGATCTGCGCTCCGTGATCTTTGCACATTTTCCCCGCAGCGAAAGTCATCGCTTGTTCCTTGTTTGCCTAAACATGTCCGCTTGGTTAGCGTTTATTTCCCTATGTAACTTATTCTGATTGGTTCACACCGTGCGTAGCAGAGTTAGGTGGTTGTTATCTGTTGTACCCGCCCCACGATCTGCCTTCAGGCACTCTTGTGGTGATGACAACAAGAAGATCAAGAACAGGATTCTTTACACCGGAAAACTACACCAAGAGACACGCAGCTGTCCATACCTATTAGAATAGAAATCATTTCATAAGTCTTAAAAAATGAAAAAAATCCAGCATCAATCAAACACAGTCAGTAAAAGATGAAATATGGCATCGGAGTAAGGAGAAAACTTTGATTTGTCTCCAGAAGCAACGAAATGAAAACCAGCTGCGCCTGATGTTGCATTCTTGATGCTTTTTCACCGCAGTTGGGTGGAAGCAACTTAAACTTAAACTAGGTCTTTTTAAACTGGCTAAATTTCATTCCACTTTATTTGGTTTGTTCTGCATATCTGAATAATCATCTAGTAATTGACCATGTTGCATACGCTAATAGCGCTTACCTTGGATAACTTTGTTGCGTTCGTAGCATTTTTTAGTAAATTGTGGACATTGCTTAATTATCGCGGATTCGTTGCTAACCAACTTACTTCATATGGTA